TATTAAAATATACAATTTAAAAAGGCAGTTTTTGCTGCCATACTCAACTTCAATCCATAGCTTGTCCCTCGCAGAAATTCTTTTCCACAGCTAGATGTCCGCAGTGCCACTGGATGATGGCCAGCGTGGGGTTCGAAGCCCAACTCCAAGGGAATCAAAAGCTCTCCCTTGCAGTGCGGCTTCATTTATGAAACAGATAATGTTTTATGTCACAAGCTTAGTCACACCTAACGCCCACAACCCAACCTTCCAAAAATGTTTCCTCTAAATGGATATTTCAGTCACCCAAATTCTTTGCAGCACTATGTCTATCAGAAGGTGCACCTCAAGGTTAGCCTACTACTGACACATTGAAGATGGAACCATTATATTTACTGAAACAAGTGTCAGCCTAACTGTTCAATAGGAAGGAGTGGAATAGAGAACAGAGACATTAGAGACAGCTGGTAGTTCAATATCACAGCAAAGTTGGCTTTTTATAATTCATATTTGGTGCTGTCCCACTTGGAGAGCCCACTCAAAGGAGCCAATCTAAACAACTAATGCTGCAATGCCAATGTGTCCATGGCACCGCAGACACCACTGCTTCAGTCATGGTGCCTTTTTCAGTCATGGCCATGCATAACCTTTTAGCCACAACGTGTATCGGGATTTATGGTTCACATTGGCTCATTAGTCAAAATGGCTGCCTCTTCATATTAATGACAGGGCTTCTTCTTCAGCTACAAAAGAAGCACTTTATCATCTACGTCATACAAGGCTACTCAATATAACACTACGTACTCTTGTAGCCAATTCTGGTAGAACTTAGCACTACATGTTGCACACAGAAAGACAAGGTGTTAAATGACTTGCAGAATAAATTTCATTTTTGTAAATAATAAATGTTTGTGTGTGTGTGTGTGTTTTTTTTGGGGGGGGGGAGGGGCATGCTGTTGGAGAATATAATTATTCAGTAAATGCGTTAAAAGGGAACTGAAGTGCTGTGCCCAAAAACAAACAAAAAACGACTAGTCCTCAGTATTACCTGTAGTCTCCCTGCAATAGATCTGTTCCAAAATTACTGATTTAGCATGCCTTTCTCTGCACACTCTGTCTTGGTGTTAAGATGACCATCTTGGTAGAGGGAGGGCTTTGCCATACCATGCCAGAGTCTCCAGCGAGGAGAACAGTGAGCAGCACAGTAGTGACATCACCAAAACGCACTCCTGATCTCTTGAGACTAACAGTCAGAGGCAGCATTGCCTGAGATCTCAAACTGCAGATATACAGCTATGAGGTCACAGGCACAGGAATTTAAAGAGTACATATTTCAGGGTGCTGCTTGGGTATAATTAATATTTCTGAGGGCCAGTTTACACCAATTGTGGTGCATTCCAGAGCAGTAGCTTATGGAACTCACTGTAATCGCACACTAAACTCTCCTCTTTGTTCTGTGCGATAGGACGCGTGGCAAATCTTTAATTGAAGCATACAGCATGTTTTTGCGTTCGCACTGGACCGGAACGCAGGCAATGTTTTGCCACACGTCCGATCACACTGCAGGCAAGGGGTGCGGCTGCAGTGCTATTTACTTCAATGCACCACCACGCCCCCTCCCATTCCAGAACGAAGGGGGGAGCTTAGTGTGCAAATACAGTGCGTTCTAGCAGCTACCGCTCTGGAACGCACTGCAATTGGTGTGAACTGGCCCCTTCATGTTTCCTGTAACATAACAAATCTTCACTATTTGAGTTCAGGTCCATAAAGCAGAAGCATGTCTTAAAATAAGTAGCTGGTAAAATTACCAAAGATAACCAAATAATATTTTATTTCCTTGCAATGGGAGAGCAAATGTAAATTTCTCTCGCACAACCTCTATCAAATTGTGTCTGTACACACCCAGTTCACTATGTCATGGTGACAATAACCAACTCTTCCTTGTAAACTGGCTGTTGGAGACAATGCTATCATTACTAAAGGTATATGAAGCAATATTATTTTTCTATTTTAGATATAAATTCTGATTAAGATTCTGATAGAAGAAGATGGTTGGATCTTTTAGTGATAGCCTGCTAGCTTATCGCATCTCCTGTCCAAAACAGCTTGGCTGTCATGGCTTGTTTGTGTGCCCTGTACCCAATATTGATGGCTGAGAGAAGTCAACTTGTACACCCAAACACCACTGTATGTCTGTGAGTCCCTCAAGTACATGCTCTCTTGTAGTCTTCAGAAGTGTTATTGTATTTGGAAGGCATAAGTCATATCTCTGCACTAATGGGTGAAGGTGACAGACTACTGCAGCCTTTCTTAACCAAGGCTCCTTCAGGGGTTGCTAGGGCCCCCTTAACTAACTTCTGACTTAAGATACATTCTTCCTCCAATCGTCCACGAATGTGAGGGGGCCCTTGTCCTACTAACCATAAAAGTAAGGGGCACCTCTATCACTGACCAAAAATGTAGGGGGCTTCTCTGTGTTGACCACCACTGTAAGAAGGTCCTTTCGTGCTAATCATCAGTGTAAGACTAGTCTTCTCTAGGGGAACTTCTGCACCAACCAATAAAAGGGGATACCTCTTCCACTGGCCATCAAGGTAAAGGAATACTTATCCACTGAATACCAAAGTAGGGGGCACCTCTCCTACTGGACCACCAGTATAAGGGGGCACTTCTCCAAGGGATGCCAATATAAGGGGACAGTTTTCCACTGACCAACAATACAAGAGTGCATTTCTGTGTTGATTACCAATGTAATGGGGCACTTCTCTACTGACAACCAAACTAAGGGGGCCCTTCTCCACTGACCACCAATGTAAGGAGGCTGGCTCCACTGACCACCAATGTATGGAGGCACTTCTCCATTGACAATCAATGTTAGGAGGCACTTCTACACTGATCACCAAGGTAAGAAGGCACCTCTCCCGTTGACCAACAATGTAAGGGGCTCTTGAAGAGCTACAACTTGTCTAATTGCTTTTGCAATTGCATAAATGCCTAAGGATGGTGGGATTGTAACCGTTCATCCAACTTCCCTCTATGGTGGACTTTGGCTGGCTATAGAAATTAGATGCTTGACTCCGATCAAGTTGACTTAGGTAACAATATTATATCTTGTGCTCCAAAAGAAACCAACCATGTCGCCAAACTAAAAGAAGAGCATTAATATTTACCTGTCCCGTTGCCTGTGGTTCTGATCTTCGCCCTCTTGTAGAGCTAAAACTTGTCTACTTGCTTTTGCAATTACATAAATGCCTAAGGGTGGTGGGATTGTTCCTCCTCATTCAACTTCCCTCTGTGGTGGACTTTGGCTGGCTATAGATATTAGATGCTTGGCCCTAGACATGTCCGATTCGTTTAGTTCCAAATCGAAATTCGGACGCAATTGCCGAAATTCGGACATTCGGATGTATCCGAATTCCAGTTATAACGAATGCAAACGAATCCGAATTTCCGATTGCGAAATTTGTTAGCGGTTGTCTGGACGAAATTTCGTTTGTTGTTGTTTTTTTTTACAGTTTGCAGAAGAGGAAAAAAAAAAAAGCGTGAGGTTCCCCCCAATTCATACCAGATCCTTTAGGTCTGGTAGGAATGTTAGGAGGGACCCTCCCCCAAGTTAAAAAAAAAAAGTGTGTGGGGTTCCCCCCAAAATCCATACCAGGCCCTTTAGGTCTGGTAGGAATTTTAAGGGGGAACCCCAGCCCAAAAAATGGGGGGGAAAAACGTGGGGTCCCCCCTAACAGTCCTACCGGACCCTTGACCCGAGCACTGGCCTGGCAGGGCAGGAAAGGTGGGGCGATCGAGCGCCCCCCCTCCCTGCGCCTTACCAGGCCACGTGCCCATTGGGAGGGTGTCCCCATATTACATCACTTCTGCATTCAGTGTCACTCTCCAGCTACAGAAGCTGATGAAGCAGATCTCTGCTTCATCAGCTTCTCTGGGGGTCCTAGGTGACATTAGGGGTCTTGGAGACCCCTGATGTCTCCATAAAGAGGACCTGTCATGTAAATTGGCTATCACATAGGGAGTTTCTTATCCCCCTATGTGATAGCAATAAAGTTGTGTAAAAAAAAAAAAAAGTAATACAAAAATTAAAGAAGCTTAAAAAAAATCTGCAACTCTCCTTTTTTTTTCCCTTCCCCTTTTCTTTTTTCCCCTCTACTCTTCTTTCTTCTATAAACTAATTAAGGGTTCCATTTTTTGAAAATTCCCTTTGGCCTCCTGGTGAGGGATGCGTATGAGCTCACCAGGGGGAACCATCATGTGCTGCCACAGCAGGCAACAACCGCGACTTTAATGTCAAGAGGAAAAATCACTAGCCCCTAGATAAAAAGCAGAGGGCCATCCTATCTTAAAGCCTTATATCTTTTGGGATTTCAATGGCTTGGATTAGCAATAAGGAGGGAGGAGGATACAGTGATTAATCGGGGGTCTAATTGATGTATTGCTGTGTTGCATATGACATTTGAATAAAACATACTATTTCATTGTAAAAAAGTTTGGAAACCAATAAAAATTTTGAAATACAAAGCATAAAAAAAAAAAAAAAAAACATTTTTCAGTCCCCCACTCTACACATACAGACGTAAATATGCATCGGTTGCGCCTACATGCGAAAGCGACGATTGCACCTATTGTGCCGCACATGTTACATATCACCGCGAACCTCGGAGTGAGAGCAATAATTTTAGGACCATCAATCACTGATAACACTAAACTGATGAGCAGTAAAAGCGTTTTAATGCGTCGACTATGGCCAATTTTCAGTGTGGTCGTGTTTTTCGATCATACCATCTTCAATCAGTTTAGCCCTGCACCAAGCTTTGCAGCAGTGATTTCATTTCGTGTCATATTTTCTTCCTCCCCTAGAGAGCGCTGGAGAGATGCTGTACGGAAAGGGGGCCGTGACCGCAGTTCGTACAGTCACCCACAGGTGGCGCTCTATCCAACATAGCTATCTGTTCTTAGCTGCAGTTACCCGCGCTAGGATTTTCCGTACAGTGGGCGGGCTCTGGTGACTGCTTCCAGTTTCGAGCGCAGCTGGCGAGTTTTGGTTCCGGTTCATGAGGGAGTACAGAGGTGCATATAGCGGATTGAGCTGCGGTAGGGTGAGTGTGATGGAGCGGGGCTTTAGGGTGTGTGCTGCGATGGGGTCAGTGCTGGGGTGCGTCCTATCTTGGCAGTGCAGGGGCGGTAAAGTGTAACATAAAAAAGAGCTGTTATGCCTGCCAAAAATGTTGCATCCCTGTCCATCCAGTCCTGAGAGTTTACACAGCTCTTCCAACCTGGATATTTTCTAGTGCAGCAGTGGAGGGGCAGGGGCAGCACCAGGGCTCAGTTGGGTGTCCCTCATGCAAAGGTCCAACGATGGCATGAGAGAGCGGAGAAGACATGACCTCATCAGTCTGCTCCTGCTTCCTCATTGTCCAATCACAGGTGGGCAATGAAGAGCTAGCAATCAGGTGTACCATCAGTGTACTTGAACACAGTTACCCTCCCCCACCACTAGGTTGATGTGCGCCCATTAACACAGAATACCAGATTTTGCCAGTTTAAAAATGTTTCCTTCCTTTTGGGTTGTATCTTTGGAGCAGTTCTATACATAGGACTCAATGGCAATGTGCAGATAAGGGATGCGGCGAGATGTATCACCAGCTGCACACCATTCCAGCATCCTTCTACATACGTCAGTGGGATTCCGGTCTGGTGTGCAATGGGATATGTTTATTCAAATGAATGGCAACGCACCACCCTCACCAGCACATAGGTGTCTTGAATTGTAATGTCTTCCTTATATTGTAAAGCGCTGCGCAAACTGTTGGCGCTATATAAATACTATTTAATAATAATTATTGAGTGGTACAGTGTGTTAATGGCACAGGACTTTAAGATTAATGCACTGTACTAGTGTGAACGGGCCCTCAGAAACACTGACAGACACACTCATACACACTCCCCCCAAAAAATGTCTCTTTTTGTTTTCTTTTTCACATCCATCCAGTCTCTCTACCTAATGAAAACTGGAGCGGATCCTCATCCTGGGGTCCAGTGTGGGCTGCGGTGCTGTAATGGAGCTCCATCCATATGTGCATTGCTTGTACAACTCCCTTGTATGCCTGTAAAGGGGCCGGGAGCCAGAATGTGATGTCACTCTGGTCCAGGCACCTCTACAGGACACGTGAGGGAGCTGTAAGCAACAGCGGTTCCTTCTTAAGGCAAACAGAATGTGAAACACCACAGTACAAGTGCAGATACATGGTGAGATTATTGATATACAGGTGAAACTTTAGAATATCGTGCAAAAGTTCATTTATTTCACTAATGCAACTTAAAAGGTGAAACTAATATATGAGATAGACTCATTACATGCAAAGCAAGATAGTTCAAGCCGTGATTTGTCATAATTGTGATGATTATGGCTTACAGCTCATGAAAACCCCAAATCCACAATCTCAGAAAATTAGAATATTACATGCAATCAATAAAACAAGGATTGTACATAGAACAATATCGGACCTCTGAAAAGTACAAGCATGCATATGTACTCAGTACTTGGTTTGGGCCCCTTTTGCAGCAATTACTGCCTCAATGCGGCGTGGCATGGAAGCTATCACCCTGTGGCACTGCTGAGGTGTTATGGAAGACCGGGATGCTTCAATAGCGGCCTTCAGCTCTTCTGCATTGTTCTGTCTCATGTCTCTCATCTTTCTCTTGGCAATGCCCCATAGATTCTCTATGGGGTTCAGGTCAGGCGAGTTTGCTGGCCAATCAAGCACAGTAATCCCACAGTCATTGAACCAGGTTTTGGTGCTTTTGGCAGTGTGGGCAGGTGCCAAGTCCTGCTGGAAAATGAAGTCAGCATCCCCATAGAGCTCGTCTGCGGAAGGAAGCATGAAGTGCTCCAAAATCTCCTGGTAGACGGCTGCGTTGACCCTGGACTTAATGAAGCACAGTGGACCAACACCAGCAGATGACATGGAAACTTCACACTGGAAACTTTACATTGGACTCCAAGCATCTTGCAGTGTGCGCCTCTCCATTCTTCCTCCATACTCTGGGTCCTTGGTTTCCAAATGAGATGCAAAATTTGCTCTCATCAGAAAAGAGGACTTTGGACCACTGAGCAACAGACCAGGTCTGTTTTTCTTTAGCCCAGGTAAGACGCTTCTGACGTTGTTTGTTGTTCAGGAGTGGCTTGACAAGAGGAATACGACATTTGAAGCCCATGTCCAGGATCCGTCTGTGTGTGGTGGCTCTTGATGCACTGACTCCAGCCTCAGTCCACTCCTTGTGAAAGTCCCCAACACTTTTGAATGGCCTTTTCCTGACAATCCTCTCCAGGCTGCGGTCATCCCTGCTGCTTGTGCACCTTTTTCTTCCACACTTTTCCCTTCCACATAACTTTCTATTAATGTGCTTTGATACAGCACTTTGGGAACATCCAACTTCTTTTGCAATTACCTTTTGAGGCTTTCCCTCCTTATGGAGGGTGTCAATGATGGTTTTCTGCACAACTGTCAGGTCAGCAGTCTTTCCCATGATTGTGATTCCTACTGAACCAGACTGAGAGACCATTTAAAGGCTCAGGAACCCTTTGCAGGTGTTATGGCTTAATTAGCTGATTAGAGTGGGACACTTTGAGCCTAGAATATTGCACCTTTTCACAATATTCTAATTTTCTGAGATTGTGGATTTGGGGTTTTCATGAGCTGTAAGCCATAATCATCACAATTATGACAAATCACGGCTTGAACTATCTTGCTTTGCATGTAATGAGTCTATCTCATATATTAGTTTCACCTTTTAAGTTGCATTAGTGAAATAAATGAACTTTTGCACGATATTCTAATTATTCGAGTTTCACCTGTATATTATATGATAAAAGGGCAAGATAATCCTGATTTGATCTGGGTAATGTCTTAAGGTGCCCATACACCTGCCGATTATCGTACGATAATCGCGTGATCCTGCGATCGTATGATAATCGGCAGGTGTATGGGTAGTGTGCGACCGTTTCTACTGTACGGTCACATGTCTTGTGTCTTCCGAGCATGCTTGAAAACCTGCCGAAAATCGTACGATTTTCGGCGGGTTAGTGGCGTGCTCGGAAGACAAATGCAGAACGGGCCGGTGTGCGCAGGCGCACACTGCCCGCTCAGCATTGGAATCATCGGAAGCCCGTCTGAGGAGCAGGCTTGCGATGATTGCAAGTACGATCTGCCTGTCCAAGATGGGCAGATCATACAAGATTTTAATTACCTTACAACCATTGCACAACGAAAGTCGTGCGATGGTTGTAAGGTGTACGGCCAGCTTTACATGTGATGCTTTGTTATATAATCATTACGGCGGGAATCGGGCGTCCCGAGGCTGGGTGACACCCGGAGCGGTAACCGGGTGTCACCCCGCCAATTGGTCCACTGTCTTTCTCACCATGTGTATATATATCTGCACTTGTACTGTGGCGTTTCACATTCTGTTTGCATGAAGAAGGAACCGCTGTTGTTCCGAAACATCACTATATGATGTGATAGCAATCGAGTCAATAAACCGTTTTTGGCTTGAAATTATATTGGAGTGCGAGTGACTTTATACACTTATCTTGGATTGCAGAGGCATCTGCAGTCACTTTGGCACCCACCCGACTCTAAGGGTATTATTCGGTCAGGACTGCGATGGGTACACTGGAATTTGGAGCTGTAAGCAATGCACATATGGATGGAGCTCCCTCGGGGCCATACCCCTAGCCCACCCCACCTCAATCTGACACTCTGCACTGGGCAGCATATTTTGAATGGCTGCTTGGCACATAAACTGACAGTGCTGCGCTAGGGGAAGGCTGAGGAGCCTCTCACCCAGTGCAGTGGAAAGCACGTGGCGACCAGTGATGGGCTCCGGCGTGTTCGCAGCTCCACGTGCCGAGCCCATCACTAGTGGCGACCCGCCAGTTCAGAACTACGGATTTACATCATCGCTGTGGGCTGATCAGGCATGACATATGCATACTTTCATTGGGACAAGCTGAACCAATGTAGGTATAATAATCTACCTGGGCTTGTTCACATCTGAAACCACTGACAATGGTACCGGTATTGTGTGCAGTGCGTCAGGCCTCGTGCTTTTATTACAATGCATCCGTAGCTGCAGCATGGCGGATATCCTCAGCGTTTTCTGCAATGCTTCCTGTGACGACTGTCAATACATTGATTTTTATATTTTATATAAGTACATGGCAGTTTGCCTGCTTTGCAGAATGCAGTGGACTGTATATCTGCATATGATGTGAATGAGCCCTTAGGCCTAATCACTCAAATTGCACTTAAGCCTAAAACTATTCACTGGAATTGCGCAAGTCTTCATGTTTGTGCTGCTGAGTGGCGAGAAGGGAGGGGCGCTCATACAGACGACACTTCTGCCAGCAAATCTCAGGGGGGAAATAATAGCGATTACACAAGACTTCATGATTGGTCTGATTGTTACTTCTCCCCGGGATTTCTCACCGGTGGTACCGGCATATCCTGCTGTATCCAAATTCAGCCAGATCAGGTAACGATCACCTTGCAGCTATGAACATCTTTAGGTGTTGTGACATCCTATGTAAAGTTTGTAATGGAGTCAACCTTACTGGCGTGTCAATGAAGGCGCTACAGACATCACCACATTTCTATCAGACACATTACATAAAGCTATATGACATCTCTGGTAACATGGCCTTGATCTGGCTTTTGCAATATGGGCCATGTTACCAGGGATGTCATATAGCTTTATGTAATGTGTCTAATAGAAAACTGGTGACGTCTATAGTGCCAGCATTGTCATCACGCCAAACTAATGGCATGGGTATGGAGACTGAAGAGCCAATGTGGGTTCCCCTTCTGGGTGCCATGGGAGCTTGTTAGGTAGTGGAAAACTAATGCAGCCAACTAACCAGTCCTTAGATGTGGTGGTTGCATTAGTTTTCTTTTAGCTTTTCTAATAAATTTTCACCTGGGGATCTGGCCAGTAACGCACACACACCTCCTGTCTTAAGGTGCCCATACACTGTTTGAATTTCGGCTGTTTTTTAGGAACCGGCCGACATTTGCACAGTGTGTGCTGCTGTCGGCACCCTTTCGATTGGCATCTCTCGATCAGCTGATCGAAGGAGCCAGACAGAACATTTTCGATTGATCAGAGCCGGCAGCCAATGAGCTGCATGGTCTGGTCGGGTAATCTGACAGGTGCTGGCGGCCGCTGTCAGAATACAATGTAAACAGCGGGATTCCTCGATCGGCACGCTGTTTGTGTTGATGGAGGAATCGGCCTATTTTTTCGTTCAGCCAGCGGGTTGAAGGAAAACAATAGATCAGTGTATGGCCAGCATTAGGGTAGCTCCAGTCTATGGAGGAGCAATGAAGCCATCCTTGGACAACAACATGGTCACCCTGTGGGGAGGGTAATGTTAGCCGCAACAGAAGATTTAAATGGACTTAATGGAGAACTATGAGGTGAGTGAAAATCACTCATCCTCATATTTCGAGCCGACGTGTGATAATGAAACTGCCACAGGTCGGCTCAGTAGATCGGGAGGTGAGCGGACACATACCGGCGCTTTCTTACTTCTCGATCATGTCCCTGCACAGAGCGGTGACTGTCAGTCACGGCTCCCTGCAGGGATTCCCCCTCTTCCCTCTCCGATCCTCCAGTGCTGACTGAGTGGGCGGGTACAGCTGGCTCTGCCCCTAGATAGGCAGAGCCAGCTGTTATTCACGCAGCTGGGTGGATCCAGACAGCTTTATCGGGATCCGTCCCCGCTGCGGCGGTCTCAGTATACCGCGAGCTGTAGCTCGTTATATACTGAGCTTTGGTTCACGGGAGGAGGTTAGCATGTCCTCCCGTGACCTTAAAGAGAACTATGGGGAAAACACTTACCCTATAGTTCTCCTTTAACTAACAAAGCCGAAACCGAGCTAACACTTTTTAAGCAGTTACAGCAAAAGTTTCTTTTTTTCCTTTTGGGATAAAAGTTTTACATAAATGAATAAAAGCTGATCATTGTAAGCACCCCTGACAGTGGTAAGTAGTTTGTCTCAACTCTCTATCTGCCACTTTTGGACAGCTTGGTCTGCTAAAGGAAGATTTGCTGCTTGGATTACCAGAAAAACATAAAAGGGGGAGAAAAAAGCCTAAAAAAAACAAATGCAGCCACCACATCTAAGGACTGATCAGCTGCAATATATGACATTTTTTCTTTTGGGTTTAGATACACTTTAAGGATGTGAGACCTTTTATTATTTTTTTACGAAATGAAGTGTCCAGAGCAGGAGCATGATGTTATGGAGGGATGAACCTCCCTCATCATGTGCTCAGATACTAGTGTATAAACCGTGACCAAAATGAGTGTGTAGAGAGCATGCTCAAAGAAGATCAAAGGGCGGTGGCCTAGGGAGACGGCTAAACAGATCAGGATGTATCAGTATCAGTGTTTCCTCTTCATAGATACCGAGCTGCTTCTCATTGCTTATTAGCTATTTACACTGTGATTAGAGAAGCTTTGAAGCCATTGAATTTCAGCACCGGACTATGTACCTTTGTTAATGTAGCTAGCCTGATATGGTAATGTAGCTAGCCTGCCACAGCAGCTGGCTCTGATAGATACTATATAGTTTGGGTGATCCAGGCAGATATGAAAAACAAAAACCCACCAACAAATGCATTACAAACATTAAATGTATTTAAATGCAACTAGAATTAGAATGAATTAGATTCTGTATCATTCCCTAGTAATCCCCGATACAGTAGAACCCAGACTGGGAGAGTAAGGAGCAGCAATAGAAGCCAATGATGTTTGCCGCAGGGCTCATGTGGTCACCAGAAACATGTTAACAGGAGTAGAGAGCGAGCAGAAGAATGAGTTCAACAATTTGCTGCTGCTCCCTTAGTGTCCAATCACAAACTGGGAACGGGATGGTGACCTAGAACCTTGGTTTTCAACTGGTGGGTCGCGACCCCATGTTTATTGGGTCACAGCCTGCCTTTCACTTTTTTAGGTGAGCACAGTACTGTCAGTTCTCACGCCAAAATATGCTGCCTTGGACCTAGCGTAAGGCTGGGTTCACACCTGGGCGTTTTTTAATTGCTGATTGAAGCGTTGAAAAACGCTCAAACAGTGAAATCCTATTAACTCCTATGGGCATGGTTCCCACCTGGGCGTATTTCAGCGTGTTTTGACGCGCTGAAAAACGCCCGAAATAGTACAGGAGCTTCTTTGGGGCATATTTTAGCACGTATCCATTGGTATTCCCGAGTGTGGCTCGGGGTTAACAAAGCGGTAACCCCGAGCCACACTCGGGAATACAGCGTAGGTCTTCCCTTGT